TTGAGGCCAAGTTTTGAAAAGCTACTAGGATAGGATTCAAAGGCTGTCTCGGAAGCTCCAAAGATGCTTTTTCCAGAGGCCCCTGGACTTTGTTTTCCTTTGAAGATGTTTCGCTTTTCCTCCAAGAAGCTTCTTCAGTTCTGACTGAATGGTGGAGAATGGAAGGGCTTATATTCCTTGCAGTCATCTGGTCACTTGTGCTCTCCCTGAGAGTTGTTCCACATCCATTTGCACTATTCAGATGACCCCGAGGGCACAGATGAAGCTCCCAGATGACCTCAGCAATCCTTAGAGAGAGCATTAACAACTAGATGATTGCCGATGCCAGAATTTGAATGAATGAATGAATGAATGAAAGACTTTGGTGTAGAACTTCAGGTTTTCCTGCCTTCTAGATCTCTTGGCTGTGAAGACAGGTTTTCCTTTCTCTTGAAAATATTTTAGTCTTACGAATTGCCCGTCTTCTAGTTAGGCTTGAGTGTTTGTACTTTTACCGTATTTTATTTGTATTGTTGCATAGTTGTTACAGAGTTACCCTGTGGTAAGATGGGCGGCCAATACATTTAATTAATAATAATAATAATTGAGGGTTGAGGGTTGATTGCTGATGAGCAGAGATTTCATCCATTGTGTCAAAGATTGAGGGACACCGTTGCTCAAATGTATGTGGATCTTTCATTGCCTTTGGTTGATTATGGATGAATCTTGTCTAGTTTATGGTAGGACCCAAATGTCCCTGGAGATTCTCAGTCATCCAGGTCATGGTTGTCTCAATGGTGCTTTTTCCAAAAGGCAACTGGACTATGTTTTTTCCTTGAGGAAGAAGACATTTCACCTCTCATCCAAGAAGCTTCATCAGTTCTGGCGAAATTTCTGGCCAGAACTGATGAAGCTTCTTGGATGAGAAGCGAAACATCTTCCTCAAGGGGAAAAAAACATACTCCAGTTGCCTTTTGAAAAAGCACCTTTGAGATCCATAAACCCCAAGTTCTGTTGATTTTCAACTTAGAATAGAGTGATTTAAGGTTGTTTTCGCCCTTGGTTATCCCTTCGCGTGATAAATAACCAGGTTTCTTTCTAGCCCTTTTGGAGTGGAAACAGAAGAAAGCTTCTATTAGATAACTGGACAGAAAAAGTTGCTTTTATTTCCATAAAGTATAATGAATGGAGAGAGTACTGTTGTCTCCTCGGTATGAAAATTTGCCGGCCTATTTTGGATGATGGAATAATCGGGCTCCAAGAACGGAAATTCTTGAGTGTCAAGATCCTTCTGGAAGAGGACTAAGAACATGGAACGCTGGAGTATCAGGACCACAGTTGTTACTTGTCTACAACAAAAATAGAATGACAATAGCGTTTAGGAGGTCAAGTTGATAAGCCATGCTGCCTTTGACATCAGAGGAGGCAACCGTTGGCCATTTTTGCCTGGCAAGCATCATAGAGCTGTCATTTTGGGATGGTGAATATATCTGTGGATGAATGGATTTAAGATACAGTATTCCCCAGAGACCTCTGTTGATCCTTTTCATCTTTGGATTTTGTCTTCTAAGATGTTTGAAGGAAAATAAGGAGGAGAGATAAGCAGGTTTTTTTTTTACCTTGGGATTCTCTGTCTTTCTTCAAAAATTCTCCAGACTGATGAGACGCTTTGGGGATAAAGAAATGTAGGGTTTCTCATGATTGTGTACCAACCTGTCAAGCCATTAAAGGCAAGCAAATTCAGGAAAGAATCTTGGATTACCAGAAATATCTTTCTTACCAGACTGTATTGTAAGAGAGACTTCAACGCCTGCCAAAATAATTCTCCAGCTCAACTTATACCTAGCATAATTAAGGTGGAGTTAGTTTGAGTCTCTTTCTCTCTATTTGCCCTTCCTCTGTCCTCAGGGGTCTTTTTTAATGAGTGAGTTGCCCCCTCCCTACCCTCCATTTCCTTCCCTTCCTTCCTTCCTTCCTTCCTTCCTTCCTTCCATCCTTCGCTGCAAAAGGGCTAACTCAGTCACTTTTTTTAGCAAAGGAAATGTATTTTCATCCTGATATAAATTGGCATGTTTTACCGACGGAAAAGATTTCTCCTACCAGCTTTCACAATATTTTAATACAGTGTGTTGCAATATGCAAATAGACGGAAGTCTAGCAGCAGAACCGTTGGAACTTACTTTTGTCACACAATCTTTTCCTCCCACACAAGCCAGCTCCACCACAGCTGTTGGAAATCAGCTCCCCACTCACAGGAAGATGTATGAAATATCACTGACAGGTCTACGTGTGTATGTACACACATTTCTGCCTTTGAAAAATCAACTTTTATGCTTGTGTGGGTCTATTTTTCAGAGAGGTGTTACGGAGCTGCCAAATTGCCGTGCCTGTGATCTTCAGTAAAATTTGGAAAATTGGTATCCTGTCACATCTTTGTTAAGCCAGAGTTTTCCCTTTATTGTTTGGACTGATTCTCAAATGAGCAGACCAGCCTTGGTTGATTTAGGAGAAGCAGAGAAGACAAAATAGTCTATTCACCCTCACCTTTCGGCTGGTCCTGATTGCAAACTGTGTCAAATTAAACCACAAATGTTGAATGGATAAGACATTAACAAGCCAGCTTTTTGTCTATAGAGATTCTCAGTCATCCAGGTCATAGTTGTCTCAGAGGTGCTTTTTTGAAAAGGCAGCTGGACAGTTTTTTTCCCAGGAAGGAAGGAAGGGGAAGAAGAGGAAGAAAAAAGAAGAAGAAAAGAAGAAGGAAGAAGGAAGAAGGAAGAAGGAAGAAGGAAGAAGAAGAAGAAGAAGAAGAAGAAGAAGAAGAAGAAGAAGAAGAAGAAGAAAGAAGAAGAAGAAGAAGAAGAAGAAGAAGAAGAAGAAGAAGAAGAAGAAGAAGAAGAAGAAGAAGAAGAAGAAGAAGAAGAAGAAGAAGAAGAAGTAGAAGAAGAAGAAGTAGTTGTTTCACTTCTTATCCAAGAAGCCTCATCAATTTATGACACAACTGATGAAGCTTCTTGGATGAACAACATGTTCTTTGTCAAGGAAAAAAGAGTCCAGTTGCCTTTTGAAAAAAGCACCTTTTTTTTTTTGCAGAGATGGTCTTTTCCCAGGATTTATTTACTGGCCACTGCGTGAAGGGCACCTGGCCACCAACATTAAGTTGGCCCAAACCAACAATAAATGGGCATGTCATTCTCTATTCACGAGATGCCTTCTCTCCTTGCTCCAGGCAGTGGGCTTTAATGATAAAACAGATTGCTCCCAGCAGACCTCTAAAGCTATCTCACCCATCGAGGTTTTGAAGTTAGGCCCTGGGCTTCCCATCTGGGGGTTAAGAGCATAGAATTTTCCCCCAAAATCACCCTTGATCCACGTGATTTGGAGGTGAATTTAGAAGTAGGCACAGCGCAGGAAGACCCGAGTCTCTTTAATATAGTTGTCTTTTTCTCAGGGATTACAGCTGTGCGATAGTGACTGCGCATTGTGTTGTTGTTGTTTTAATCTCAGAGCTTTACAGCAAGGACTCACTTACTGTGGCTTTAGAGAGGCCCATGTTTTCGAATCAAAATATTGCAGCAGCGTTCCTTGGGGATCCTCAGCCGTAATATTGCACCGTATTTTTTTTTACTGAAACTTTGTGGGCAGTAAGATGCTCTGATACATGAATTAAACCTGGCTGTGCTTGCCAGCTGTTGCATAAATTCCAAGTAGCTGTCCTTAAAAAAACAGATGTTTGCTCTCCTGCTTTTTTTAACTCTGTTTGCTAAAATTGGATTTCCAGAATGGTTTTCCAAAACTGATGCTGTTGGGTTCTGAACCTTTTTAAGTTTAAACTACGAAACAAAGCAAGGATCTCCTCCTCCTCCTCCTCCTCCTCCTCCTCCTCCTCCTCCTCCTCCTCCTCCTCTAGCACAATAGTGCTGTTTTAGTCCAGAACTGCCTGCTTAGTTGGCATTCTGGACTTGACAATCCCATTCAAATACATTTTGTTCCATTTCAATTTGTTTTTTATTGTAATAATTGATCAGGAGCGAAAAATGAGAATACATTCCCTTTGACTCAACCTACAAAGCAAACAGCCTAATTTAGATTGACGTAACCATTATCTTGAGAAATACTACAGGCCTTTGCATAGATCTGGGCTATGATTAGTAGCCTTTCTGGATAGGAGAAGCTGGGCGTAGTAGCACTCTTGGGTGCTAACTTCGATTAGAAGTGACGAGGAAAGGGAAGAGATTCTCTTTGGCAAACCTGATGGAAGACCATAATAGCAAGCAATGACCATCGATTCTTCCACTCCCAACCTTTTTGCATCATCCAAGGATTTTGTCAGCCTCAAAGAACCAGGTCCAAACAAAGAAAAGGGTTCAAATTTACTGACCTCATTCTCTAGCCCAGGGGTAGGCACCCTTGGCTCTTTTATGACTCGTGGACTTCAACTCCCAGAATTCCTGAGCCTGTGCACAGAAAACTTCTCAACTAAAGGTTTGCACCTGAGTAGAACTAAATACAGATTCAGTGGGCATTCAAAGCAAGCTTGTTCTCTTGTGACTGCATAGAGACTAAAGTAATTGCTCGTTTGACTTGTACAAAATCATGGAATTGTCGGGCCTCAAACAGGAGAGCCTCAGACAAGTGACTTCCAGTCTCGTCTTAAAAACCTCCAGTGATGGAGCACCCAGAACTTCTGGAGGCCAGCTGTTCCACTGGTTAATTGTCCTCACTGTCAGGAAGTTTCATGTCTTCCCTGTTCTTCTTTTCTTTAGACTAGCCAAACCCAAGTTCCGCGGCCGTTCTTCGTATGTTTTAGTCTCCAGAACTTTGATCATCTTAGTTGCTCTTCTCTGAATTTTTTTCCAAGGTCGCAACATCTTTTTTTTTGATATGGTGACCAAAACTGGTTGCAGTATTCCAGGTGTGGCCTCACTAGGGTTTTATAAAGTGGTACTAATACTTCGCCTGATCTTGATTCTATGCCTCTGTTTTGTTCAATGTTGGTCTCTGTTTTTTTCCCCCTAAAGGGCCAGTTGTCCCAGGCTTTGGAAGAGGCAGGAAATCAGAAGAAAAGAGCAGACATGGTAAGTTTAGTTTTTTTTTTTATCATGTTTAATGAAAAAAAACTTACAAATGTATTTGTTTGACTTAGAGCTCAGTTTAATTTTGTACAGTTCAGACCCACACACACACACACACACACAATTGTGGTCATAAACTGAGGACTACTGTAACACACACATACACACACTCCCTCTTCCTGTGTTCTCTGCAACAACAGCAACCTGTGTGATGGGTTGGGTGGAGAGAGAATAACTATCCTGAGGTCATCCAGTTGACTCTCGTGCCTAAGGGAAGATTAGAACTCATGGCCTCCTTATTTGTGACCCAGCATTTTAACCACTATATCTTAGGATGAAGCACTAATTTATAATGTCTGCATTTATATGATACGATGCACTTCATGGCCTGCGGTTTCCAATTTTGAGACTCTGGGATTAAACCCTGAAGAACTGGAATAGCAAAAAGCTGTAGATTTAACATATTTTTTAAAAAATACACCGGGAATCCCCATTTTCTACGCATGCAAAAAAAATGAGACTGTTTAATCTATCGTCAGCTCTTTTCTGGAGGCATTTACTTATTTATCAGCTTGCAAGGGGCTTTGGGCATGAGAATGCAGAATTTCCAGCAATTGGGAAACGTTTTCATTCTCCTCCTGTAATTCCATTCGGTTTGTTTTACACTTTTTCAATGAGTCATTTTTCTCTGCTGGAGGATCCGGGCCGTGGGTGGCTGGCTGGGTTTAATAAGCAATATGATGGTGTCTTTCTTCTGCAGCTCTTCTTTGCTCATAACTTTCAATTCGAGTTTGGGGAGTTCAGCTAGCCGAGGAGAAGATTACAAGCCTTTGCAGTCAGAACGGTTTAGCTAGAGCAAAACTAAGCAGCCCCAAAGAAATAATGCGAGGATTAATATATATATATAAAAAATCTAAGGGAAGCTGAATTTGTATTCATGGGTGCAGCAGGATGAGAAGCACAAGCTGTCCCTCAAAATATATGCAGTACTTCATGGGGAAACAACAATTGATGAAAATGCTATCTGCCATTTGGCCATCTGCTTGAAGTCTTCTTGTAGGCTTCAAGTCTCAATAGACGTTCCTCAGTGGAGAATTAGAATTAGGGGCTAATTAAAGTAGAGACTGTTGTATTTGAGAACCACAGAATCTGAAAAAAAAAACCTGGAGCTTATATGGCATCTGGAAAAGTGCTTCCAGGTCTATTAGAGGTTATTTTAGGAGTAGAATAGATCTAAGGTGGTTTCACCATCTATTCCTCAGGTGGTGGACAATATGCATCATCAAGATTGGCTTGGTCTAACTTCTCCTGACCTGCTTCAGTTACCTGGCAGACTTGTTCACTGGGCTGTGAGACTCCTTGATTGTAAGACATTCGGTCAAGTTTCATTCTGGAGTTAGCTTAGTCAATAAAGTTCTCCTTTCTCTTACTTTTCCATTTAGGCAACCTGAGATTTGCTCATGATCATCCAGGGGGGGTCAAAGGGGATACCAAATAAGGAATGAGGGCTCACCAACAGCCAATCCAGTTCTACCAGGCCCTGATAATCTGCTCCATTTCTCTGGAGGTGTCCAAGAAAAGATTGGACAAACATTTGTCCTGGACGGAATAAGGACTCCTTCCTTGGGCAGGGGGTTGGACTAGATGACCCCCAAGGTCCCTTCCAGCCCTATGATTCTATTTACTCTAGCAGGGTTTGATTTTCCAAGATCTCACCTTTTGCACTGGTAAGCTTGACCACGCCTGCACCTGCTAAAGATGTTGTCCATTGAGCTCTATTGAGCAGTATCCACATTTGCAGCGTTAAGAGAGTTATAAAAATGAAATTTACGTTGACCATGTGAACATTGTTGTGTGACTGCGCCAAAGACACAACAGTTGTCTTTTGAGCATCATCAGGCAGGGTCTGTTTAATGTAAAAACCAAGTCTATAGGAAAGGCTGCTCAGATAAATACCTGTCAATTTTGACCCAGGATTTTACTTGAAATTCTGGGCTCACAAGATTGCTGGTTGTCCTATTCTCAGAGCTCTTTGGGCAGCTCGGTTTGATGTTCTCTTCTCTCTCTCTCTCTCTCTCTCTCTCTCTCTCTCTCTCTCTCTCTCTCTCTCTCTCTCTCTCTCTCTCTCTCTCTCTCTCTCTCTCTCTCTCAAACCGTGTAGTACATAATTTCAGAAATAAGTGATCTGCCAGATGGACTCATCTGAGTTGTAACTATTTCTTCTATTATTGGTCTTTTTGCAAAAGGAAGCTGCCAACTGTGTCAAGCTGTGCAAAGGGCAGTCGCTCTTGAAGCAGAAATGGCTTTCAGGTCTGTTACTGAAATAAATTTAAATTGAAATATTAAGATGGCTGTGATAATGCCATTTGACAACCCAGGTGGAAGACTACATTACTGTCTGTCTGTCTGTCTGCCTGCCTGCCTACCTACCTACCTACCCACTTACAACTGGATGCTAGAATTTTTATTATTATACATTTCCTCCTTCCCTCCCTTCTTTCCTTATCTTAGACCTGTTTCCTTCTCTCTTAATCTTCCTTCTTTCTTTCCTTCTTTCCTTCCTTCTTTTCTTCCCTTAACCCTGCTTCCTTCTCTCTTAACCTATCTACCATCCATCCATCCATCCATCCATCCTTCCCTTGATCCTGCATTCCTTCCTTCCTTCCCTCCCTCCCTCCCTCCCTCCCTCCCTCCCATTGAGAAGTGTCATAGGACATTAGTTGCAGAGGATAGTAGACGAAGTGGATTAACTAACACAAACTCACACACTCCTGTTCTGTCTTCAGATGTGGACCTAGGACAGAGATGGAATTGCTAGCTGTTCTGGATCTGAAAACACCTCCAAACCCTCCCCCCAATCTCTTCTAAAGCCTTCCGCCTCTTCTGTGTTGCGTTAAAAACAGGTTACATTTCAAATGTTAACATAAACTCCCATTAATGGGAGTTGACTTATTAATTGCTGCTAAAGGCTACGAGTTGATTGCTCTGATTACAGAACACGGCAGCCTTCACCATCTCCCTCTTAGAAATGCTTAGCAAATGAGTTGTGGGTGCTTCTATTTAAATCTGATCTGTCTACGGCACAGGTAGCATACTTGTTCCTGTGCTAATGTGAAATACCGAACAGGTGAATCACCAGTGCCAGGTGAAAAGGGAGATCCAGGTGGCGTGTTTACCAAATGCCACGCCACTTGAAGCACCCAAAGCCTCCATATCAAAGGGTAATAGAGCCACCAAGCTCACCAACTCTTGTCTGTTTCAGCACACCATTCAATTACTTGTCTGCGAAAGTCACTGGAAAGCAAAAAAAAATTAAAAGGAGAGAAATGTAAATAGCTTCAGTTAATTGCAGTTGACAAGACAAAGGCAGTTTGACTTTCCAGTATTAATTAGCAAACCCATGTTAATTAGCTTGTATAAGCACAATTTATGCATCTTTCTCTAAATGCAATTAATTTTGTAACTGACGATGTCTTTGGGATGTACCACCGTATCATTAACATACTTCACCCTAATTAAGCATGGGCAGCAGCGGCTGGAGAAATGAGTTTGTGATTACAGTCATTCAGGAGTTGCTTTGATATTTTGGATCCTGTAGTGAACTTGAGTTAGGGTTTAATTTTCGAGTTTGCGAGAAGTTGTTGCCCTGCTGAATGGAGGTGTGGCAATCTATTTTCTTTATGGAATTACTCTGGATAAAATGCCTTTCCAGAATTCCAGAGGAGAGGCATTTACTTCTTGCAGGGACAATATTCCTAAGAAGTATTAAAATATAAAGTGGGGACTGCTCTGTCCCTTGCCAAAACAAAGCAATAAAGATGATTAGGGGGCTGGAGGCTAAAACATACAAGGAACGGTTGCAGGAATTGGGTATGTCTACTCTAGTGAAAAGAAGGGCTAGGGGTGACATGATAGCAGGGTTCCAATATTTGAGGGGCTGCCGCAGAAGAAGAGGGGGTCCACCTATTCTCCAAAGCACCTGAAGGCAGGACAAGAAGCAATGGATGGAAACGAACCAAGGAGAGAAGCAATCTGGAATTAAGGAGAAATTTCCTGACAGGACAATTAATCAATGGAATGGCTTGCCTCCAGAGGTTGTGGTTACTCCATCACTGGAGGCTTTTAAGAAAAGATCGGACAGACGTTTGTCATAAAGGTGTAGGGTATCCTACTTGAGTAGGGAGTTGGACTAGAAGACCTCCAGAGTCCCTTCCAACTGTTAAGAAAACCAACAACTGGTATTAATAAAGTTGTCAATCCCTCGTTTGGAATAAGCTGGGCCATGTTGTTTCAAGAGGCGTTTTTTGTTAAGTGTGGAAAAATTAAGATCTAGACAGTCAAGTGTAGTCATCAGGACTAGGTGATATTTGAATATTACCGAGGACCAAGTCATCAGAAAGTTTGTTAAGGGTTTTTCTGTGCTAAATTTAGCCCCACTTTCTGAAGTACATCTTAACGTTCATCGTGAGATGTTCAGAAGTGCTAAAGCAACTCATTTAAGAGCTTTCTTTTGGTTTGTAATCAGTAATGGGAATTTAGGAGGGTGATTTGCATGCAGTATGAAGTAGAAGAGCCGAAATAGTTTGGAAGACAAGATGGAAAAGTGAATAGACGTTTTTGTATCTGTTTTGTTCCAGAATTTATCCTTGGTGGAAATAAGGTACCTCGCTTTCTTTACCCTAAGAATTTATTTAAGTGATTCTAAATAAATGGGAAAGAAAACATGGGTAGTTGCAATTTAAAAAAGCAAATGAACACATAGGAATGAAGGAGTTTTTGCTTTGGAATGGAGCACTGATAGTATATGAACAAGTAAGGCCACTTGCAAATTTTGGAGAGGTGGAAAAATCCCACCTGGCCTCATGTTTTCGAGAATGCTTAATACAAAAATGTGGATGGAGGTATCTGTATCAAAGCACCTTCATCCTAACCACTGCAATCTGATCCAGATAAAAGTTGAGATAAAAAAAGGGTGAAAGCGGAAAGCTCAGTTCCCAGGGATA